TTTTTTTTTTTGCTTTTCTGTTGACATAATTTTTACAGTGTTCTTGTATTTACAGAGACAGTCAGCAAAGTTCACACTGCGAGAGGGAGGTAAACTGGGGCCCCTGGACTGTGTTGTACTGGGATGCTGCTACATCATAAATCAATGGTAAATAAAATGCCTCCACACTGTCAATTCACAAAGTTTGATATACGTGCAAGTTTTAGGCACTTTCTATGTACGTCAAAAAGACTTTTTAAAATCCAGCTTAATCTTAATTACATTTAACGATTAAAAATTGTTCAAAAATGAGGCACGCTTCACGAATTTGCATGTCCTCCTTGCGCTACTGCCGAGCCGATCTTTGGTTCCAATTCTGTTTCAACTGTTCTAATTTGCGCGCACGCCGATTGGTGCGACACTTTGATTGTGATTGGTCCATCGGGATGTTCTAATTTATGTGCACCACAATTGGTCCAGATGCGAAGCTAGCTATTTGTCCATTTTGATGTTTCAATTTGCTTTCATGCCGATTGGCCATGAGGGCAGGTCCACAGACAGAGCGTTTTGCGAAGGGGGTTGGAGGCACGTCAGTACTGTACAGTGCTTCGGTGTGTCAGCATCAATTGTTGGATTATTGCCTTTGCTTTTTCCATCGACAAAATTACTTCGACATTCATCTTCGCCATTTCAACGCATCAGGTAAGGGTGATCTAGTATTTACTTCTGTGTACTTTGGTAACTGTAAGTACTGTAAGCGATTTATGTCGTGTAAATCAGCTATGTAGGCGTAATTTAAAATGCAAATTGCTGTCGATTGCAGATGTAAGAAATCTGTTTCTTCTGTAATAGTTGAAGCGTCACTTTTTTCGTTAAGGAATTATGAATTAGTTTTGGTAAATACAGTAGTTCGATGCATCCTTATTGACAAGTAAACGCGGTGTTAATGTAGTAAACGTTTATGTGATGTATCCACTAAAAAGAATACACATGAAACAGCACGTGTGTCTTCTAGCCGCCATTTTACTGCTTTTCTAACTTCCGCCAACCGGGCGCCCCCAACAAATTCCCAACATTCCTAGCGCTACTGCTACGGAATCTCAATGGTCTCAAATGCAAAATTGTAAGCATTTAATACATCACAGTTTAGTTATCGTGTTTTTGCCAGATGGCGCTGCCTACAGGAAAAACCCCACTCCTGTACGGTCATGGCCTGCTTTTAGGGTCAAGGAGGAGGCCATGGCTCGTGTGGCTGCTGCTGGAGGGGACACCAGAAATTGGCAGCTAGTGCTAAGCGAGAGTGCCCTGCAGTTTGGCCAGTACCGTGGGAAAACCTTTAAATGGTTGCTATCTAATGATGTTGGATATGCAGCCATGGTGCTGGCCTCTCATCGGCAGGAGCGGGAGCGTGGAGACACGTCCACAGCTTCAGTAATGGGCAACAAAGATGCGTTGCTGCAGTATGCTGGCCTGTTTCCAGATGTCATGGCAGCCATACAAGAGCGGCATGTTCGAGAGGGATCCGGGACAACGGGCCAGGAGGACAAGCTCCTTGTCGGGTTTGGAAATTTTGCCACCCTGACGTTTAAGGATCTCTATGACACCAAGGATAAGGACAGAAAGAGGTAAGATGTTAATCTAATAGAAGCTGCTGGCTGTAGGAATGTGTAGTGTATAGGCTTGAGTTAGTAATTTTTTTTTCGATTCAGCTTCATCAGGTGGGTGAGGCAGAAGAAGGACATCCATCCTGGCACAAAGATGGAGGCTCTGCAAAAGTACATTGAGAAGAGACGCTGAGAAGTTGCGACCAAACCTTCCCAAAACAGCACCTCCAGGCACACGACTTACTTCTTGTTTGCTTGTTATTGGATATTTTGTTGCTTTTCCATCTTTTAATTATTAATACTTATTCTAATATTAACAGCGGTCGCTTCTAGCTCGGCGTCTACAGAGGAGCCATCAGATGCTGATTTGCTTGCTGCAGCTGAACACATAGACGTTGCGGGTGAGAATGACATAGTCATGAATGGGTTTACATTTGTGGTTTTGTATTCAGAATAATGTTGTGCATTGTATAACATGTTTTGTGATTCTGTATTATAGTCCATCTTGGCTGCTGTCAATGTAAGCTCAAGACGTACTAACACGGCTACCTGAACTAAAGGCCCGTCACACCTCTGTCTATGGCTCCATCTTAAAGATACGTCTTATCATGTACTTTAGGTCACCAATAAGCTAGCTGGTGATCCTGCTGGCACCGCTGCGTGGGTGACAGATGTGGGAAATGAAATTGGACAAGATGTAGTCCTGGACAGCCCCAGACTTATGGCTGAAACAAGGTTGCAGCTGTTTGAGTTAAATCAGCACTCTTTCACAATGGTAGGTTCAGTAATTAATTGTTCATGCACAATTGTTGTCATATACCACCCTTCTCTGCACGTGTACTAATTGTTATATTGCATGGAAAAGGAGGCAGGAAAGGGAGGTCTTGGAGCAGAGTATTCAGACCTTTACCACTCCCTTGGTGGCCTCTGAACCCCTCCCACGTGTGCTGTTTAAGCATCCAAAACCGGTCAGGTATGGGCACCAAGCCTATGAGTTCAACATTCCGGCGGATGCATCAGGACAGGCAGTACAGTGTTCCTTTGTGCAGGGGCCATGCTAACCTGTATCGTTCTTATTTTAGTATATATGTGCTGCCGAAGCAAGCACGAACAAGTGGTCTAGACGTCTGGTAGATATAGCAGTGTCTCCGGGAAAGTCTTCTCGAAGGTGGTGAGTGGTTAAACCATGATTTAGTCATTTACCAGGACAATACAAGCACATTTGATGTGCTGCAATGTGTTGCATTTGCAATTATTTCTGATCCTTTAAACTATATATTTGGTGTAATTTATGTTTTTCTGCCAAGAAACAGGCAAGCATGCGGATCAGGCGGCCCTATAGCCAGTAAGATGGGCTCTCAGTGCTGACGCAATCAGGTCATGTGATCCGTTCTCCTCCCCCAGCACTGCACCCCCAACGTCAGGACAGTTCCTTGGCTTGATGTGCCTGAAGCACCGCTACAGCCTCTTCAACCTAAACAGTGCAGAAAAGTGCAATGATTAAACAAAATCTGACCTTTGAGACTAAATGTAGAGTATATGTTTTGAGCAGGTGAACCTTGGAGTGCAGGGACTCTGGAGACTCGAGCATGTGCAGTAGTTCAGAGTTGTCAATCTCCAGCAGCATGCCTGTAATCTTTCCCGCAAGAGTCGGATGCAAGGCCTGGATAAGTGGATACAGCCGCTCACCTGTATAGGATGCAAACAGTTTGGTCATTTTACTCATGTTACGATGTAGTACATAGATTGTGTGCTATATTCCAAGTCTTCTGAAGCCATGTGATAACTATCTGCTACTTTACACTAAATAGACACTGTAAAGTTTCGACAACTGTAGTTTTTTTTTCAGTACTTCACTGTAAAGGGGAACTCACAAATAATAAATTTGTTCTCACTGGATAAATATAACAGTAATACAGTGAATAGTCGTTTATTAACAGTTAACAGTACTATTCTAGTAGCGCCCTCTACTGAGCAGTATTGTTCATTCAGGTTTAGGATGCAGGTGATATAAAATGATTCAAGCGGCTCACATCTTTAAACCTTTAAGTGATCGTGTGTGCACGTTTCATACCCAGGAGTTGTTTCTGCTCTTTTAAGGGTGCAGCTGCCAGCATTGAGGCAGTAAGGGGCTCCTGGCCTCTCACATTAACCGCCGGCTCTGTATTCGGTACTACCTAAAAAAACAGTAAAAGAAAGACTGCTGTATTTTTCTATTTAATGCTCCTTAGTGTCAAATCATCACATTGCAGTGGCCAAAAACGTAACTTTTATTTTATGAAGTTGTCCTTAGTTTGAAGGTTTTTTTTGTTGCTTTTCTGTTGACACATAATTTTTACAGAGACAGTCAGCAAAGTGCGCACTGCGAGAGGGGGGTAAACTGGGGCCCCTGCACTGTGATGCTGCTACATCATTAATAAATGGTGAATAAAGTGCCTCCACACTGTCAAGTGTCACTGTCAGTTTGATATACGTGCATGTTTTAGGCACTTTCTCTGTACGTCAAAAATACTTTTTTAAATCCAGCTTAATCTTAATTACATTTAACGATTAAAAATCGTTAAAAAATGAGGTACGCTTCACGAATTTGCGTGTCATCCTTGCGCCCTGTGCGAGCCGATCTTCGGTTCCACTTCTGTCCCACTGTTCCACTTATCCTGCATCCTGATTGGCCCGTCATCTGGCTCGCCATTGGTTGGAGCTCTGTTCCACTTAGTGAGCTTCCCAATATGGTCATGGAGAGTAGCCTGCCCCGTCCTTCGAGAAAGTTCCACTTTTTCCTGCAGACCACCTTGCATTGGAGGCGCGGGTGACGTCAGTACCATTCAGTGCTTCTTTGAAAGCGATCGATCGTTGTCATTCATAATTGTGAGCTAGACTAGTGTGGGTGCTGTTGGAAATTGAGCAGACATAAGTCGTCCGGTCAGAGACGAAGTATGGTTTAAGACTTGTAGAGGTTTACAGTCCTTGAATTTGGTTGAGTGAATGATTGTAGTACAGGTAGCAGAGAATATGGCAGAGTAGTTGAGTAGTTTGGGGTGCAGCTTAGTATGAGTGGTTCTAAACAAACAGAAATAACAATAACCAATTAGTAATGAAATATAAACTCATTCTGTTACTTATACATAATATATATACTTAAACATAATAGCAATATAGCATAGTAGGCAAATTAGTGATATAACGATCGATTCAGACATGTACAGACTAGATTAGCAGCAGTGTTGGGAGTAACGCATTACAAAAGTAATAATATTACAGTAGTATATTACTTTTTGCTGTAACGCAGTATATAACGCATTACTAATCAAATTTGGGTAATATTATTACTCGTTACAATCTAAATAACGCAAGTTGCAACAACATATTTGAACTGCCAGCATTGAGGCAGTAAGGGGCTCCTGTCCTCTCACATGAACCGCCGGCTCTGTATTCGGTACTACCTAAAAAAACAGTAAAAGAAAGACTGCTGTATTTTTCTATTTAATGCTCCTTAGTGTCAAATCATCACATTGCAGTGGCCAAAAACGTAACTTTTATTTTATGAAGTTGTCCTTAGTTTGAAGTTTTTTTTTGTTGCTTTTCTGTTGACACATAATTTTTACAGAGACAGTCAGCAAAGTGCGCACTGCGAGAGGGGGGTAAACTGGGGCCCCTGGACTGTGTTGTATTGGGATGCTGCTACATCATTAATAAATGGTGAATAAAGTGCCTCCACACTGTCAAGTGTCACTGTCAGTTTGATATACGTGCATGTTTTAGGCACTTTCTCTGTACGTCAAAAATACTTTTTTAAATCCAGCTTAATCTTAATTACATTTAACGATTAAAAATCGTTAAAAAATGAGGTACGCTTCACGAATTTGCGTGTCATCCTTGCGCCCTGTGCGAGCCGATCTTCGGTTCCACTTCTGTCCCACTGTTCCACTTATCCTGCATCCTGATTGGCCCGTCATCTGGCTCGCCATTGGTTGGAGCTCTGTTCCACTTAGTGAGCTTCCCAATATGGTCATGGAGAGTAGCCTGCCCCGTCCTTCGAGAAAGTTCCACTTTTTCCTGCAGACCACCTTGCATTGGAGGCGCGGGTGACGTCAGTACCATTCAGTGCTTCTTTGAAAGCGATCGATCGTTGTCATTCATAATTGTGAGCTAGACTAGTGTGGGTGCTGTTGGAAATTGAGCAGACATAAGTCGTCCAGTCAGAGACGAAGTATGGTTTAAGACTTGTAGAGGTTTACAGTCCTTGAATTTGGTTGAGTGAATGATTGTAGTACAGGTAGCAGAGAATATGGCAGAGTAGTTGAGTAGTTTGGGGTGCAGCTTAGTATGAGTGGTTCTAAACAAACAGAAATAACAATAACCAATTAGTAATGAAATATAAACTCATTCTGTTACTTATACATAATATATATACTTAAACATAATAGCAATATAGCATAGTAGGCAAATTAGTGATATAACGATCGATTCAGACATGTACAGACTAGATTAGCAGCAGTGTTGGGAGTAACGCATTACAAAAGTAATAATATTACAGTAGTATATTACTTTTTGCTGTAACGCAGTATATAACGCATTACTAATCAAATTTGGGTAATATTATTACTCGTTACAATCTAAATAACGCAAGTTGCAACAACATATTTGAACTCAAAATTAAGTGGTGAATTTACTAACACCTCAAAACAGCACCAGAGAAAAAATTCTGCGGGTAAAATAGTTTGTCTATTTCCTGTTGCTGGAATTAGATGGTTGAGATGACTGCAGAGACGGATTCTACATTTGTGAGATAGACATTCTCCTGTTATTTTCAGTTTATCGGAGAAAAGGATAAGAATGCATAGTCAGGTGCAATATGTGCGACACCAAACTCTCAACATGGAGAAATAGCATGAGTAAAACCTGGAAACACCTGGACTGGTAACACTAAGCTATCGGAGAGAGCTGCGGGGTCGAAGTGAAAACATCTGCGGACGAGCGCAGACACGCAACAAAAATTAAGTTCAACTTGTGATATTTCAGTTTTTCTTTTTTAATAAATCTGCAAAAATGTCAACAATTCTGTGTTTTTCTGTCAATATGGGGTGCTGTGTGTACATTGAGGAAAAAAAATTTACTTAAATGATTTTAGCAAATGGCTGTAATATAACAAAGAGTGAAAAATTTAAGGGCGTCTGAATACTTTCTGTACCCACTGTATGTGTGTGTATGCGTTTATGTGTATGTATATGTGTGTGTGTGTGTGTGTATATGTGTATGTATATATTTATCAGTCTGGCGAGTAAACAAAAAAATTTACTAGCCAATTGCCAAGATGTTCGTAGAGGGCTGTTCAGCCTGAGCTTGGGCCAAACACACATTTGCTCATGTGACGAGGATGTTTTTAAGTGCGTTAAGTAAGCCTGGCTTACATAATAAATTATAGTTTAGCATTGAAATACATCGCAAATATGGACACATTTAATTGGATTAATGCCGAATGAGAGAGGTAGGCTGCGCGAGAATGCCGTTTGTTTTCATTTTCGCATTGAATTAACCTAAAGCCACGGTCACACAACACTTTTCGTTCCATTGACTTCCAATTCATAGACCAGAAATGCAAGCCCATGCGAAAAGTTGTCGCATTTTGCGCTCCAAAGTTCAAACTTGGTGAACCCTGGCCTGCGAATTCACATGATACCGTGTGACCAATGGCAGATCGATACGTCACAGCATGACCTCATATCTGAATTAAAAGAACATTCATTTAAAACTGCAGCGCTGCAGGAAAGTGGAGTAGATTGTATGTTTTTATATTTTAGATGTGTTATAATTTGTTGAATTTCAGTTTTCGAAAAAGAAGCTGGACAGCGTGACATCATATCATAAGTTTCAGCATGCGAACGAATTTCGCATTGCTCAATTTCTGATTGTAATAATGCTATTTGTGCTTATATTTTTTTAACCTAAACTACAATGTAACAATGTAGACCTACATACCATAATTTAAATATGATTTCATATATTTGATGCTATATAGACCTACCACATTACCCTCCACTGGATGTAGAATGAGCAGCAATAAACTACATTTTGACATTTTATACTTCTGTGGATATTTTGGTGAAAGTAACTCAAAAGTAGTATAACGCATTACAATTCAGAGACATTAATATTGTAATGTAACTAATTACTTTCAAAATACAGTAACTAGTAATATATAAATGTATTACATTTTGGAAGTAACTTGCCCAACACTGATTAGCACTTGTGAAACTGGCATCACATTCTCTGACACGTGAGCTCGAAAAAAACGACAAATATGGCTTAAATACCACAAACAGTCTCACTTATTCAGTAAATAATAATACACATACTCAAAGTGACTTAAAGTTTACAATATTATACACCAATATCGCTATTTAACCATCTCTCATATGCATTCACTGGCGCTGTATGGATGATGCAATACACAATGCGTGTGGCGCACATACATGATTATAATTAGCAACTAGCGATAACACGAACTTATGCCTTCAAAATACAGCAATTTAAAGATAATGAATAACAAACACAATCACTCACTTGTGTATAAACGCACTCAGTAGAAAACAACAACAGCGAATAACGTCCGTGCTCTGAACTGCGTCCTGTTAATACTGTAAAGTGAAATGCTGAGTCAAAGCAATACCTCTTAAAGTCACAAGGGGGCACTAATGGCGCTCTCTCTCTCTCTCTCTCTCTATATATATAGCCGGCCTTTTCTACAATAATCATCATCATTTCCTGACATTCGTTCATTTTTTGGATTTGAAGAGGTAAGAGCGCATGATTTGACCACGTTTTGCTTAATTTTCGTGTGGTTCGCCTGTACTGTACCTGTGAAGCGATGTAAACTCATTTACTGCGCTTTTACCATAACTATCGTTTAAAATACCAATGGCGTAGTAAAGCGTCGGTAGTTTCGTGGTAATTGTGTTATTTAACGCGTTGTCACCACTGCTTAGTTACATAGTTGTTATAGAGCTGTAGTTACTGTAGTAAAACCATGGTAATATTTCACAGGGCTGTGGTCATCTCTTCGTAAGTTTTGATGTGCTTCGAATTATTGTTTTGAAAATAAATGCACAATGTTATCTGCATATATACTTAAAGCATAAAGCCTGATTTATACTTCTGTGTCGGACCTACGCCGTAGGCTATGCGTCAGTTTTCATTTATACTTCTGCGTCGTTGTCCGCGTCAACGTGCAGTACACATGCAAACCGCTAGTCAGCAGTGTCCACGGGCATGTTGCTGGTGTAACCTGCAGTACCACGGCAAAAGCCGAAGAAGAAGCGGCTTGTCTGAGAAGCATTATAGCCGTGACGGTGGAAAATAAATATCAAATCATTAAATCATTATTTAAAACTACAAAAAGCAGACAACAATGGAACAGGAGATGATGGCATTCTTTCAATCTGCACAAGTGTGGTTACAAAATTATAAACGCAACACTTTTGTTTTTGCCCCCATTTTTCATGAGCTAAACTCAAAGATCCAAGACTTTTTCTGTATACACAAACGGCCTATTTCTCTCAAATATTGTTCATAAATCTGTCTAAATCTGTGTTAGTGAGCATTTCTCCTTTGCCGAGATAATCCATCCGAAGTTGCTGGATATTGGCAGGAACTGGAACACGCTGTCGTATACGCCGATCCAGAGCATCCCAAACATGCTCAATGGGTGACATGTCCGGTGAGTATGCTGGCCATGCAAGAACTGGGATGTTTTCAGCTTCCAGGAATTGTGTACAGATCCTTGAAACATGCTGGCGTGCATTATCATGCTGCAACATGAGGTGATGGTCGTGGATGAATGGCACAACAATGGGCCTCAGGATCTCGTCACGGTATCTCTGTACATTCAAAATGCCATCAATAAAATGCACCTGTGTTCGTTGTCCATAACATATGCCTGCCCATGCCATAACCCCACCGCCACCATGGACCACTCGATCCACAATGCAGACATCAGCAATCCGCTCACCCACACGGCTTCATTGCAACAGCTCTGGTGGACATTCCTGCAGTCAGCATGCCAATTGCACGCTCCCTCAAAACTTGCGACATCTGTGGCATTGTGCTGTGTGATAAAACTGCACATTTTAGAGTGGCCTTTTATTGTGGCCAGCCTAAGGCACACCTGTGCAATAATCATGCTGTCTAATCAGCATCTTGATATGCCACACCTGTGAGGTGGATGGATTATTTCGGCAAAGGAAAAGTGCTCACTAACACAGATTTGTGAACAATATTAGAGAGAAATAGGCCTTTTGTGTACATAGAAAAAGTCTTAGATCTTTGAGTTCAGCTCATGAAAAATGGGGGCAAAAACAAGTGTTGCGTTTATAATTATATTTATATTTTGTACTACTACAGCACATGGCTACTTAATATGCATTTGTCATGCCCCAGGAAGCACATGGCTACTTATGCCAGTCTCAGGTACCTTGCTCAGCCTGCCAGATTCACTGATTTCTCTCATTTTAGCAGGATGAGGACCCCACAACAACACATGTGACCCCATTGGGGTTTTGAGATCACCAACTTGGAGTTCAGGGCCTTGGAAGGCCACAGAGAAGATCCATCAGGTTCCTTAACCCAAATAAGAAACTTCAGGGATTTGTTTCACCCGCCCCGCGGTTGGATTGGCCACCAGACGAATTGTTTCACCATGTCCCGCCTCCGCTCCCCTCACCCCATTGGCCGGCTGAGGAATCGTTTCAGGCCCTGCACTCGGATTGGCCGCCGGACAAATTGTTTGCTCGTTGCTCCCATTGGCCGAGGCCTCGCCGCCGTCGACTCGAACATCATTCACTATGTCAGAATCCCCTGGAACAACACTATCTTGCCTTAACCCAAATAAGAAACTTCAGGGATTTGTTTCACCCGCCCCGTGGTTGGATTGGCCACCAGACGAATTGTTTCACCATGTCCCGCCTCCGCTCCCCTCGCCCCATTGGCCGGCTGAGGAATCGTTTCAGGCCCTGCACTCGGATTGGCCGCCGGACAAATTGTTTGCTCGTTGCTCCCATTGGCCGAGGCCTCGCCGCCGTCGACTCGAACATCATTCACTATGTCAGAATCCCCTGGAACAACACTACTGTTTTTCTTCTGCGATTTCATCAGTTTAAACCCACAAAACACAAACGTTTTTTTTCTAAAAACGCACTTCCGCAATTTATTCAGCAATTTTGTCCCACGATCGGAATTTTTATACACCAATTCTGCATTTTCACCCTGAAAATTTTGCGGATCACGTGATATTGGCAACGTGGCAACATATTTGACCCTTTCTCACGTTTTATTTGTATCGTTTTTTTAAATAGGCATATAATAAGCATTTTATCCATGTGCAATGCATGCAGAAGAGGCGGGAGAAAAAAATTGGGGTATTACTGAGTCGTTCTTAAAGTTATGATGATGGTTAACCTGCCTAAAACATAGATTTTAGTATGAAAAGTTCAGTTTCATTCATGATTTTCATCGACACCCAATAAATGTACTTTTTGTTCCTTTTAAATGTGTAATGCATGCAGAATTTTTTTGATGCGTTCGTTTGACCCTTTATTCACTTTATGTCAGTTTTAATAATCAACAACGATGAATGATGCGTTCGTTTCGTTCTTTCTTTTCAGTTTTTTTTTATAGCTTTATGGTTTTGTATTGTTTGCGTATGTAGTAGACGTGTTAGGGAAGTAACACGTAACATTAATTATATTTTGCTAAAATGAGCGAAGTGACTCGACAAAAAGATTAGTTCATTTTGCTGAATGAGACTCAAAGGTCCGAGTCGGTAAAATGATCTGAACTTCCCATCACTACCCTTTATTCACTTTATGTCAGTTTTAATAATCAACAACGATGAATGATGCGTTTGTTTGACCCTTTTTTCACTTTGTCAGTTTTAATAATCAACAACGATGAAAATAAAATAAAATGAGTTTAAAAACATGACAAAACCCTTAATAATGTACATTTTTCATAAGTTTTTTGTTTGTGTATGCCATGAATTACCCTTAATAATGTGTAAGGATGGTTTTCCTACGGTGGTTCAGGCTGTAGGATTGCCGAATGACTAAAGAAACGTTATCAGCACGATGGTATAAAACTGTACATTTCTAGTCTATTACCACCCACTGCCACTTATACCAACGACGGAAATAAGCGCAGTTAGAATAGCTACATATGTGGGAGAGCGTTGCTATTGTGTGACTATTGTATTGCAATAGGTAACACTTTAAGATGAACCTTGAATCAAGACTAGTTAGCACATAATTAATAATTGAAATGGTTTAATAACAATATTTTGTTATGGTTACACTTGAATTGGTTACAAAATAGATGAAGGATGGTAAAGCATAGTTAATTGTACCCAACATGTAAAATATTACCTGAGAGAAAGAGATAGAGAGAGGAAGAAAAAGAGGGAGAGAGGGCAGAGACCCAAAAAGAGAGCCAGCCAAGAAAAGAGACAGAGCAACAGTTACAGTCCTCTTTTATCCCTTCCTTGACCATGTGACTAAAAACCAAATGTGAGACAATCAAACTGACCAATCAGCAGATTACAACTTCACCCACTGGGCAAAAGGTGTGACAATTAGCAGACCCCCGATGTATACACATGTTGGCCTACAGGCATTGATCACTATCAGCACCTCTGTGCCTTCAGGAATTCCAAATGGCCCTTTTGTTACTGAAGATAGGTTTGGGACAGGAAAGCAGAAATCTTTAATAATTTTTGACCTTACAATGGCTTCTGGACAAAATACGAGTCCATAATCTATAAAACGGTATCCTACAGTGAAAAAGTCCATCCCCTGTTGTTTTCTCACATCAAACTCCACCAGCATATTTGTTTAGAACTGATTTAGACTTTGACTCTGATTTAGATTTTGCTTTTAAATGCTTGACCTGTGCATATTTCTCTCCTGATTAAGACTAGAAAACATTTTCACTGGAGAAAGCAATATAACCGGAAGCAACAAAGTTAAAAACATCTTACAGATGGATTTGTTTATTACAAACACATCTTTTCTCTTCACAAGATGTTAATTGAGGGACAGGAGTCATGTGGATTACTTATGGATTATTATGATGTTTTTATCAGCTGTTCGGACTCTCATTCCGACGGCACCCATTCACTGCAGAGGATCCATTGGTGAGCAAGTGATGGAATGCTACATTTCTCTAAATCTGTTCCAATGACGAAACAAACTCGTCTACATCTATGATGTCCTGAGGGTGAGTATATTTTCATCAAATTAAATTTTTTGATGAACTATCCCTTTATTATTTATAAGGCCATGAAAGCACCATGAAATATCATAAAATTGGTCCATACAACTTGTATGCTATGTCAGCTCTTACAAATTCAAATGAATGAATTTAATGTGAGAAGCAAGCCGAATTTTAAGCTATTCACTAATAATATTCATCTTCATGGAACTACAGTTGAATTATTGAGTCGAGATTGAGTTGTGGATGTTTTGTTCTTCAAAAATTCGCCTTTTGTGTTTCAAAGAAGAAAGAAAGACATTTGGAACAACGTGAGGGAGAGTAAATAATGATAGAAGGCTCATTTTTGTGTGTGTGTGTGTGTGAACGATCCCTTTAAGCTAATG